ACCACCCATCCAATCCCAGAATTCCTGTAAGGATGTAGAAGACGGCCTTACAACCTCCCTTTGGCTTTGCACAAAATTGTAGGGCCTTGGGACTAATATCAGCTCACCTTCATTTAGTAGCAGCTGGTAGGAATGAAACATTCGGTTTTTTTTTGTTTAATGGTTCAAATTTTGATGTAGCAGCACAAAAAGTCCTAAGCACTCTCTAAACCAAAGAAATCGAAATCGTGATCCACATTTGACTGTTTTCAGGTAATTGTAAGGTATTTACCATATCTGAAGAACGTTTTAGTATGTTACACGAATGATTTACAGGAGTAAATTTTAGTTGAATAGTACGATTCTCTTATAACAAATTTCATTACCAAGACTATATTAGTGGGAGGTACATATTATTATTATTATTAGGAATGATTTTAAAGGTCGTTTTTGATCAAACGAAAGGTAGCACGGTAAATCCCGCAAATCTGGTTTATCGAGCTTCTTCCAGTCAAAGATTATCTAATAAATTTCAAGTCCCTCACCCTACGATTCACGCTTTTGGGAATTAATTCTTATTAGAGCCACCGTTATCGTGTAATTGATTCAGATGCTCGGTTAGAATCTCCCAATTTTACCCCAGTCACTCGTAATTAAAGCATAAAGCTGTCGTTACTAACCAGACTATATTTTCGGTACAACGTTTACGCACAATATTCACAGTGAAACATACACATATATATGTACTACTTATCTACTTAATATATAACGAGATCTTTGTAGTCACATTTCATTAAGATTCTTCTTACATTTTTTACGAACTTTTATTCTTTTAGTACACGGAGAGTAAAAAANAATTTAGGTCAGGTTCTAACATGATGCCAAGTAATAGAATAAATGAATTTATAGCCTAAACAGTTTAGGAAATTTTGTAATGTTGAACTGAACAAAGCAACAAAAAAAATTGAAATGCAATGAAAGTAAATAATAACACTAGATCTAGCTAAACGGAAATGTTTTTGAATTAAAATAATTGTAAAAATACAGATAATTAATAGTACTAAACAATAGTTCTGATTTATTACATTGACTAAGGATGGAATCTATTAGATTCAATGGATACCTAATTAACGGTTTTATCTAGTAGTTTTCAAAATCGATGAAGTTCCTCACGTAAAACATTTGGGCATCTAATTTAACATTTACGCTCGGCAAATCAGCTCAAATTTTAGAAAATACGACACCTTTTATTATCCCCGAGTGTGCGATTAGGGGAATATAAAGTCCGCGCTTACCACGAACATAAGAGAAGAGGGTACAAATTTAAAAAGCTCGTATTCATCACTCTCAACTGTTCTCCATTGTTCGCATTTTAATGTGCTACGTTGATCTGTGGTTCTTTAAATTTTTTATAGATAAAAGGAACATCAGACGTTCACTTGCTTCATTTTGCACGTTTGCAGGTGAGACAAAAAGTTCGCCCGAGAGAGTTATATTGAAACAAGTGCATCAAGCAATACAGCAGAACTCGAGCGCTTCATAAAGCATGCAATGCATATGTATAGGTATTTTAATAAACCTCGCATACAACATGCAAGAAAGTTGACAGCTTCACACTATTATTTAATGGCTAAAATATTTATCAAAATATTTTTCAAACCATTCAGAAACAAATTTGTTACATAAATGACCACAGAGGTACTGAACTACTTGGTTACAGTTTGCAGGGGATACACGAATAAAGCGGCGATGCCGAATTCCCTCCCGCAGGTAGTTTTGGTTAAAATATAGATAGTCGATTCCCTCTCGGGTACTAGCCGAATTCGCTCCCGTTCATATCAGCTCCGATAATTAAGTTAACGACTACTTACCGATTTTATTTATTGAAAATAAATATATATTTATAGCGAGGAGGAACGCTTCGAAACTTTCCTAGATTCGATTTGCATTTTAGCCTAGACGAAACTTTTAATAAGAACTTCTGTACTGTATTGACTCGGTAACTCATTTTCATATCTTCAGCAGACTACTTGCATCTGCAAAGGCATAGGTACCAANTTTAATTTAAAATGAAAAGCAACATTCGAATCCAAATTCGTTTAAAACACATTCACATTGAATTGGGCAGTTATGTTTATTCAGGTCCAATAATTCTCAAATAAGCAGCTTTCAAACTAAGGAATAGACCGTAAATTTAGAGGATTACGGTAAAATCGCTTTTTATGTTAAGAATGAAAGGTACAACACCTTTCTTTAATGAAATAACCCCAGTAACCAATAATAGTGATTAATATAGATTGAGTCTAATCCTAATAGTTACATAAGAGGTGTAATAACTACACAATGTCGTAATAGCTTTTATGCAATTTATTAATCCTAAAATACTTTTTAAACATATGAGAATTTTTGAAAGTTTTGTAAACGTGCATAAAAATCACCTTTCTGGTAAGTATATTTCAATTATACTTCATGTATTCATCGCATGGATGGAAACGTTCACTTGATTGTAAAATTATTATTTAAGAATCTCGACATATTCAACACACCCGGTTTGTTTGTGACTATCTTGGCGAAAAGAGTCAAAAGATGTTTAAACCACTAAATCTCATCATTTATCATACTATTGATCAATAATTAAAAATCAAATGTAATAATTAGAAACCCTTCTCAAGAAGCACTTAAGAAATAGGATCACAATTAAAAGTTCAGACTTCTTAATTCGCCCTTTCCCTTTCGATTACCCTCTTACAATAAAACGTAACGCAAAATGTAACCAAATGGGAAGAGAAATATAGGCGAGGAAAATAAAAAACGAAGCTACTAATAATCCGATAAAACTAAAGATGACAAGAAATTTCTCCATCTTGCTCATTTCTTAAACCGTCGCGTCGGCCGCAACCCTTATTTATATATACGAATGTAGTATTAACAACATTCCCTTGAAGTATAATCAGACAAATAGAGTGGTAAACGTTAAGTGGGGTAACTGTTTAGCATTCATTTGAATATTATCTGTGCTTGGCAGAAAATTTATCCCTTTCTCTCTTCTAAAAACGACTCCGAGTAATAATACATTGGCCAATCGTGAGAAACGAACGGGGATAGCTTTAGATCCCCTTTCCCGATAACAAGATGCCTTTGCTACTGTCTGGAATATTGTTTTGTGTACATATAAACATATTGTATATATGTTACATTTATGTGTGTTTACCTGAAAGTGGAAATTTCACGTTCGCTTGTGGGTACTGACAACAACCACAGTTAAATATTGTCGGTTCATTAGACGAGTACGGAAATTAATTAAACGCGTGGGACTTGCCTGGACAAATGCACTTACTGCTTTGTTGGCATAATTTGGACGGCCAATTTCCTATCTGAATAACGTTAGTATCACATATAAAACAGTCGAACATCGTTACAATTAAACAATTGGCTTTTATTAAGAGTGATACACTAGACCGCAACAAGCATTTCAAGACACAAATAAATATAAGTCAAATTACGTATAAAAGCGCTTAATATTTTAGATGAAATATAAACTCAAGAAACAAAAGCATTGGCAGAACTAAACAAACTAATTGGCTATTATAAACACTTGCATAATCATCATCATCATCATCAAACTTTATTATATTTTCAAATGCCCTTAACTTAAAAAAATAAACTAAACTTAGAATCTTCGAATATTCTTCAAATATGCGCCAAGGAATGTGTCGACCTGCGAGCAGTACCAATATTTCAAGCTAGATAAACCAATAAGTATCACCAAGACCCCAAGAGTAAAAAATGTATGTGAAATATACCTACATATAACGTATACATGTAAAGGTCATGCAGGTGCAGTAAACTGGTCGATATAGGCACCAATTAGTATCTCCAAGAATTCAAGAGTAAAAAATGTAGATGAAACACACATTAAGTACTTACACATACAAAGATCATGCAGGTGCTGTAAACTGGTAGATATACCAATAAGTATCTCAAAGACCCTAATAGTAAAAAATATATGTGAAATATACCTACACATAACGTACACATATAAAGGTCATGCAGCTGCAGGAATGTGGTCGATATAGGTACCAATAAGTATCCTCAAGAACCCGAGAGTAAAAAATGTAGGTGAAACACACATTAAGTACCTACACATACAAAGATCATGTAGGTGCAGTAAATTGGTCGATATACTAATAAGCATCTCCAATATATAACGTATACATAAAGAAATCATGCAGGTGCAGTAAATTGGTCGATATACTAATAAGCATCTCCAATACCCCGATAGTAAAAAATGTATGTGAAATATACATATATAACGTATACATAAAGAAATCATGCAGGTGCAGTAAATTGGTCGATATACTAATAAGTATCTCCAATTCCCCGATAGTAAAAAATTTATGTGAAATATACACATATAAAGATAATGCAGGCGAGCCGCTATTTCTTACCTTTTCGGGAACGAGCAGGAAGTGTTAAGCCTCGCTCATGTTTATTATCATAAACAAGAATACATCAGTATGGCAGAACTGTTACAATTTCTATGGCTTGTTATCAGGTTTTAATTAACGATAACTGGTAACTTATTAAAATGGTATTGTCACCTTATACACTTTAAATGTTTATAAATATTATACGCTAATTTCAACGATTTCAACTCAACCCTTACGTTGAAAATCCACCAACCAAAAATTAAAATTTCATTAGTTTGGTGTTTAAATAACTTTTCGCACAGGGTGTAATGATTCGTTTGGGTCGTTGGTAAGGGTGGTATTTAATAGAGAGCTCGCCAGAATGTAGACATGAGCCATTAATCATGATAAGTATACTAGGCAAAATCAATATCCGGTTCATTATTAACATAAATAACGATTTTTGAAAATGCTACTTTGCCTCCACCATATGTTTATTATATATCGCATAATTTAAGAAAATTTCATTTACCTCTACATTATGGTTATATATATTTACTTATGCTTAGGTTTAATTTCGTTACTACTTAAAACAATTTGTAGAAATCTTACCATTATCCTTAAATTCGGTCCTCCTTAGCTAAACAGCATCGATGTCATAATCTGTAAATAAAATAAAATAACTGTAATCTAAACAAAAATACTCAGTAAAAATATTATCATCATCATCATCATCGTGTTAACCTTTGAATTACACCGCTAATGGCTAGATCAAAGCCGGGCAAACTCTGCTCTTTTGACTCCCGAGCACTCCTCAGGTATAGCCGAGGAGCTCGTATTTGTTCCTGTGAGTACAAGTCAGATGATCCTTCGTCCGTAGCCGAACACAATAGTATTGCGCGCTTCCCTAAGCTGCGGGACGATCACTAAAAAATGTTCCTAGGTACTATTTAAATTGCTCGAGGGGCTTCGCTTGCGTACGGAATGGAGGAGTTTGCTATGGGTGTGGCAGGGAGAAGAAATGGGTCATTATTGCTTACTTTCTCGAACTCATAGAAGGGTAGCCTCATGTAGCCTCATTGCGAAGTGAAAGTTTGCCCGGCTCTGCACAATAGGCTAGACCACCCCGCTCGGTACCAATCCCGTGCAAATCAACAATAAATCTGTACGTATTTTTTTTTTAAAACCGCGCGTTGAATATTTCTTTAAACAGATAAGAAAACCTTTTGTTAATTCAAAATAACGGGAAATGGAAATAACTCGGAACGAGTGTCGAGCACCAATGTGGACGAAATAAGGCAAATGTACGGGTACTCTAAAATAAAATTATTTCACAGTGTTCCAGAGGCAATCAGTTTTTGTGTAGAATCCAAGAATTTCCTACGTTTTCGTCAATTTTTTACTGAATAAAATCAACAAGGGGCATTGAGTCGCACAGTCGAGTCGGCTAGACCTTTAGTTAGGACTGTCTCCTTACAGGCAAATTTAACTCAATTTTACATACCTAGCGTAGGCTGAGGAAATTCAATTTGAAACAAACAAAGGCATAGGAGAGAACGCGTGACAGGGACCATTACTTTTCCCGTCACTTCACACCAGTTGGTAGCAAATTGAGCCTGTGGAATGACCTTCGGAAGATTCGGACGAGTCTGGAATCCGAAAATCGAAATTCCACTTCGTACATTACACGTAATCAGTCGATTGCATGTGATCGACCAATCGAACGATTGCCTTTTCCACGCTTACAATAAATTAATTGGAAGAATCGTTATCGGAATACGGTCACGTACTAAAGACGCCCGCAGCTAATTTATAAACTGCCGCAGCTCCATCGAATTGCAATTAGATAATAAAACCCCGGAGCGGAGCTGCAAACGTTCGACGCTCCAACAAACACATTTTACGAACGGAAAACGACGAAAACAAAATGATGAATTAAGTGCAACAAACTTTATTAGATTGGTTTGTAAATACAACACATGTGCGACAGGTTTTCCAAACTTGTAAAAGATGAACACAAACTGATGTCGATTGTGGAAAGCGTTACTTCTTCAATCTTTTTCATTAACTTACACTTACTAAAGCAGACTACTCAACAAAATTAAATATAAAAATAGATAAAAAGAATTTAAACGTGATTTGAAATTAAAAAACAGACATCTATTATGGACTGTGTACGCTGCGGAAAAGAAATAGTTGGAGGCATTCGAAATGTGGTGTAGGAGAACAGAGGACGAGACGACTGTATGGAGGTCAATAACAAAAAGGCGAGATAGGTTGGTAGGACACCTTCTCAGGCATGAAGGTCTAGTCAGAGACATATAAGAGGCAGAAACGGGAGTTAGGAGGGTGGTTAGAGATAGAATTAGATTAAATTACTGTTCGCAAATAGTTAAGGATGTGGATTGTTCTAGTTTTAGGAACATGCAAAAATTAGCTCAGGATAGGAAAGAGTGGAGGTGCGTTTCCAGCCAGTCTAAAGACTGACGACCTTATAATGATGATATAGTAAAGTACTGACTCATATTTATGTTCAGTACCCTCAACTGAAGCTCGATGTTTGTCAATGGCTAGGTTCAGTTTACTGTGCCTTACTTTTAGATCTAGACTGTTAAGTTGTCCAGTGTTTTTCTCTAAAACAAATCCAACCAACCAATGATTAACAAAATAATCGGTAAATCGCTGTAGGTACTACTTTATTTTCTGTATCCAATATTCCATAATGCTATGTAAGAATCCGTCTTCAATTTCGTCGTAAATGCTTACACATTTCTCAATTATTTAATTATTCAATTATATTATGTGTGATTATAGCACAGGTATTTAAAGAGCAACTCACTAAGAATTTTTTTTAACGATTTTAGATCCCTGTAATGTACAAATACAATCTTAAGTACTTAATTGCGATACCTCTTGTTTATTAATAATAAGAAATCTTATAATTATTTTTAATTATTAATAATTTTAGCAGTGCGAAATGGGAACATTGATAAAATTAGGTTATAGGCTGCAGTACGAAATGGGACAGTACGAAGTGGAATGGTGGTGGTTGTGGTGAGAAAGATGAGATGGACGAAATGAAGACGCAAGGGAATTAAAGATTATCGGTGGAATATTACTACCCCAAAATTTGCCTAAAACTACAGAAGAAACTTGGACCAGAGCAGAATCGAACCGGTGTCTGCTCGAAAGCTAAGCACTGGTCTAAACCTCTAGACCATAATCTTATAACCTTATCACAATTTTAAATTACAAAATACAGGACCTGTAAAGAGGGTAGTATACTTCGTTTAGTTTCTGTAGAGGTGTGACCTTCAGTTTGACCGGCACAAAGTAGAAAACAACAGCACTAGGCCAGAAAAGAAAGGAGACAACTCTCGACCAAACTCTTAACCGGTGAGGATCGTATAATTCCTACAGTACTGCACGGAAAAATTGACCATTTTATCTACTGCAATTGCATTGCTCAAATGTGCTATTATTGGTACCATTTACCACTGAAAATATCAACGAGATGTTTATTTATATTTGAAGACATATTAAAGGCTTTAACGCTTGTTTTCGACTCGCACTACTATTCGTGATCGAACAAAACTTTTGGCAAGTACTGTATGAAAAAATATGTTTAATGAACAAAAGTCGAGAGTATAATGAGCTTTTTTCTCCCTACCTACGATTTTGTCAGCGCGCATCCAAGACATTGGAAGGGGCATATTGCTAGAGAAAGTAAATGAAGTATACTATCGCTAAACGCTACAGCGTCTTATAGTATTGCCTTTTCGAATTAAACCTGTAAAAAGGTTATTCTTTGGTAGAAACATAAGTTAATATACATATGTATAAATTTTCTACCCTGAAAGCTTTGCCAAGCATCGCCGGCTGAGGTAAAAATTACTTTGACTCCTATTTACATTGAAATAAAATTCAATAAAGCATTTTTTTCCTTTCTGGGGACTACTACCTACTCACATTTTGCTTTTTCCTGTTTAAAATGAGCCAGATAAAGTTATTTATAATTTCGAAGGATAATCAATTATTGCTTACTTTCTCGAACTCATAGAAGGGTAGCCTCATGAAGACATTTTAAGATGCGAAAGTTTGCC